AGTCCAGCGACATAGCCATTACGCTTTTTAAGTGGTGTATTTAGGCACAACGATCTGCCCATCTGTTTACTAAACATTCTGCTACGCGTCACTTGCATCTTATCGTGCCTTTTCTCTGAAGAGGAAAATGCTTTCTCTCCCGTGAGAGGAGTGCAGGAAGCCGGCTCACAGCTCTCCCCTCTGCCACCCTCGGCGAGCTGGCTTATCATCGTAAACTCACTCGCTGAGTCACAGGGCGCACGTGCCCACACGCCAGCCTGGTCACAGCGATCTGCAGCCCCGCGGTCGGTGTGTGAATGTCCGTCTGTGGGCACTCGGGAAGACCTGTCCCGTCTGGGCCACCGTTATGCGGCATGCCGTGCTGTCACTCTGTCATTTTCAGCTTCACGTCGCCAAGATGACCGACATCAAGCTGCTCTCTGTGTTTACTGGCCGCCTACCCTCTGTCTGAAGTGTCTGTGTTCTTGTGCACAGTTCAACAAAAACGGCTTTCCTTCTTGGGGCTGATCTCTGGATACTCCTCGTTTGAAAACACACACACACACATGTACACGCGCACACATACACACACACACACACACACACAGTAGCGAGCTGGCCCTGCAGTACAATGGTTAGGGGGCAGGATCCCACGTGGCTAACCGCAATGTGAATCCTGGCCCTGGGGGCTTGGGAAACACGCCAGGCGCCTGTTAGTGTGCAGGGCAGTGGTAAACGCCTGTTAGTGTGCAGGGCTGACTCACACAGGGAAGTCCCTGGTTCGCGTCCCTAGAGACGCTCCTGAATAGGCTGGGCACGCCCATGACTCCAACCTGAGGCGGACTGAGGCTGGACGCGGAACCCGGCATCATGACCCTGTTGAGGGTGCTATTTTTATTTTTTTTAAAAGAATTATTTATTTAAATTTATTTAAATTTGACCAGAGACAGAGAGACAGAGAGACAGAGAGAAGAAAAGTGAGAAAGCAAGTCACAAGGTCCGGTACACAAACCATGGTCGGCCATGTGGGAGTCCAGTGCCTTAACCACCACGCCACCTGCCGGCTCCAAGGGTGCCATTTTTCCTCTCATTCTCCAACTCCTCTGTCTCTCTTGCTCATGGAAGAAATAATAAAGTAAAAGCTCAAGGATGCTTCTGATTTCTCTTTTTTCTTTTTCGGATAGGTTTTTTCTATAGGGCATGTGTGCTTACCAGAAAAGGAGAGAGAGACAAAGAGAAAGAGATTTCTTTTTCGGATAGGTTTTTCCTATAGGGCATGTGTGCTTACCAGAAAAGGAGAGAGAGACAAAGAGAAAGAGAGTGAGAAATCAACCCCCATGGGGAATGGCCACGCCGCAATCCCTTCTCCTCCATTCTCCTCTCAGGATCTTGGGCACGCACGCACACGCATCTAGCGTGAGTTTAAGCCACCGGGTCCGGGACTCGAACCACGGTCGACTACATGGGAGTCCAGCGACATAGCCATTACGCCAACTGCTGGTCCCAAATTTGCTGTTCTTGATGAACTTCTGTTCTTATAAAGATTCAAGTTTCGTGTAAAACACGGCATTATCTGTGCTATCCCTCGTGGGTTTTATAGGGCTTCTTGTATTCTTGCTTTTCTTTTCAGTTTGGGAAGTCTGCTGTGATCTTCTCTCTAGACACCACTTCCGCCCAGTTTTCTCAGGCTTCCCCCTGGGACTCCGAAGGAATGTGAGGTAGGCCTTGCTGCATCCTCTAGGCTTTATCCTTCTTTCTAGTTTTCCATTCTTGTGTTTTTCCAAAATTCTAAGTGATTTTCTTCAGTTTTTTTCTTCTGGTTTACCATGTCTCCTTATTTGCTTATCTGTTATCAAATCCATTGGTGGGATCAGCAGTTGGCATCATGGCTATGTCACTGGACTCCCATGTAGCCAACCGCGGTTCGAGTCCCGGACCCGGTGGCTTAAACTCACACCGGGCACGTGTGCATGCATGACCAAGATCCCGAGAGGAGAATGGAGGAGAAGGGATTGCGGCGTGGCCATCCCCCCTGGGGGGTGATTTCTTCTCGCTTTGT